GTGCTTAATTTTTGCCAGCTATCATTTTCAGAGCTTTTTATGTATTTGTTTACTCACAAAATGAGATAAGGTTTATTATTATTATTATCATTATTATTATTTTACAGATGTAAAGGCTGAGGCACAGAGAGGTAGAGTAACATGCTCAGAGTCACACAGATTCTGAGTCATAGGGTAGGAATATAAACCCAAGCAGTCTGGCTCCAGAGCCCAAGCCCTTTTCCACTTCACTATACTGACGAGCTAAATCAGAGCATAGACTGGACACTCATAGCTATAACTACCGCAACCTTAGCCCCCAAGAAATGAACTTTTTTTGTTATTACTATTTCCCTATGACTTTGTATTTGCTAGTGTAAGATCAGAAGCTAAAGGTTAATGAAAGAAATTTGAGAAAGAAAAAAAGTTCACATTCATTAACTTAAAAAATTTTTTTTCCCCGAAGTGTTTAGAGATTTTAGCAATTGTACTTGGTCTAACTTGTGAGATAAAAGTTGTCCATGGGAGCATATTTGGGGCACCAGTGATATTTGCATTGCCGGTATTGTTTTGCATGCAGTTAGGGACTCAATAAATGGGACAAATTTTTTTTTTTTAATAATTTTGTGACAACATGGATGGATCTTGAGATTATTCTAAGAGAAGCAAGTCAGACAGAAAAAGTTGAGAACCATATAACTTCACTCACATGTGGGATATAAAATTATAAGCTACAAAGGAACAAGACAGACAAAGAAATAAAAACCCATAGACACAAACAACAGTTTAGTGGTTACCAGAGGGTAAGGAGGGAGGGAGATAGTTGATGAGGGTAAAGGGGGTCAAGTACATGGTGATGGAAGGAGCACTGACTCTGGGTGGTGAACACACAATGGGATATATAGATGATGTACTACAGAATTTTACACTTGAAACCTATGTAATTTTACTAACTATTGTCACCCAATAAATTTAATTTAAAAAAGAAACATTTTATTGAGATATAATTTACATATAGTTCATCTATTTAAAGTGTACAGTTCAGTGGTTTTTAGTATTCAGAGTTTGCAACCATTGCCATAATCAATTTCAGAACATTTTTCTCATCCTCAAAAGAAACTCATTTCCACTGGCAGTTATTCCCCATCCCCCTCTTTCCCCAGCTCTAGGCAACCACCAATCTACTTTTGGTTTTTATAGATTTGCCTATTCTGGGTATTTTGTGTAAATGGAGTCATAAATATGTAGGTTTTTGTGT